GTTGTTGTTGTTTTGGTTTTTTGAGACAAGATTTCTCTGTATTGTTTTGAAGGCTGTCCTGGAACTCACTCTGTAGATCAGTCTGGCTTTGAACTCACAGAGATTTGCCTGCCTCTGCCTCCCGAGTGCTGGGATTAAAGGTGTGTGCCACCAACGCCCAGCTCACTTAGTGTTTTTTAATTTAAATTTTAATTATTTTCTTATTTTTGGTTATGTGCATATGTACATCTGTGCATGGATGTGTGCATGAGTGCAGTGCCCACAGAGGCCTGAAGAGGGCGTCAGATCTATGGGAGCTGGAGCCACATTGTGAGCCACTGGATATGGTGTTAGGAGTCTGTCCTCTGGTGAAGCAGGAAATGCTGGCAACTCTGAGCCATTTCTCCAACAGTACCCCCACCCCCATTACTGGGTTTTACTCATCATATGTTCCTGTAATGTCTGTCCTGTAAATGGTACTTAGATCTAGAACCTCTTATGATTCAGATTTAGTTGTTATTTAAAAAAATGACTTTCTTGGTAGTTTTGTCTATTTCTACCTGGAGGTGTATAATGTCACATTACCTCTGTTAACATGACACTAGTAAAAGCTACCATCATCTGCCTTCATACATCACAGGTTTTCAAATTAGGGATACATCAGCACTGTAATTCCTTTATCCCTTATTGCAATAATTCTGCATGGAAATGCTTGCTCGTGTTCCTGCAAATAAAGCTAGGGTAGAAAAGGAAGGCTAAAATGCTGCTTCCCTTTCTGAATACTCAGAGTGGCTGCTTGCTAGGCTCCTCCAAAGCCACTGATAATTTTAAGAATGCAGTGAAATGGGGCTGTGGACCACGGGGACCACACGGATGCACACAGCAGAGATGCGGAAGGTGGTCCTCTCCCTCCACACCTGTGCCGTGGCTAGTGCTCATCAACTGAGCTACACCCCAAACCTAAAGTTATTTTTTTTTTTGAAGATTTACTTATTACATATACAGTGTTCTGCCAGAAGAGGGCACCAGATTGAATTGTAGATGGTTGTGAACCACCATGTGGTTGCTGGGAATTGAACTCAGGACCTCTGGAAGAGCAGTCAGTGCTCTTAACCTCTGAGCCACCTCTCCAGCCCCCCCCCCCAAGTTATTTTTAAATTGACAGACATACTCAACACACACACACACAAATAACAATTTAAAAAATCACACACACACACGCACACAGACACACACACACACTACTGTGGCTGAGGAGGTAGTTTAGTTGGCAGAGTGCTTTCTCAGCACAAATTTCCAGGTTCACACCACCCCTACCCCCGGCATCAAATAAAACCAGATATGGTATTGGCAAATGCTAATAATTACACCACTTGGGAGGTGGAGGCAGGAGGATCAGAAGTTCAAGGCCATCCTAGGCAATTTAGCAAGTTGGAAACCAGCTTGGGGTGACCTGAGTCCCTGTCTCAAAAATAAACAAACATGTACTTTGATTTTAAAGACCAGGGGGCTGGTGAGATGGTTTAATGGTTTAGAGCACTTGTCTTTGGTTTTTCAAGACAGGGTTTCTCTGTATTGTTTTGGAGGCTGTCCAGGCACTAGCTCTGTAGACCAGGCTGGCCTCAAACTCACAATGATCCTCCTGCCTCTGCCTCCCAAGTGCTGGGATTAAAGGCATGCACCACCAACACCCAGCTGAGCACTTGTCTTTGGATATGACTCAGGCTGGATTCCCAGCACTCACAGGTGACTCACAACCATCTGTAACTCCAGTTCCACTGTATCCAATGTCCTCTACTGACCTCCGCTGGCACCAGGTATGCATGACACATGCACACATACATATATGCAGGCAAGACATTCATATACACACACTAAATAGAAACAAAGATAAAGAAAAAAACAGGCATGATGTCATAATTCCATCACTTGTGAAGTTGATGCAGGAAGATAATTTGGTCCAGGCCAGCCAGCGTAGGTTACATAGCAAAACCCTGTCTCAAAAAACCAAATGATGGCTGGGCAGTGGTGATGCACATCTTTAATCCCAGCACTCAGGAGGCAGAGGCAGGCGGAGTTCAAGACCAGCCTGGTCTAAGAGAGCTAGTTCCAGGACAGCCTCCAAAGCCACAGAGAAACCCCGTCTTGAAAAACCAGAAAATAAATAAAAAGATGAATAAAACAAATTTTTTTAGTTGTTTCAGTTACGATTCTGATACTTGAATTGTTCCATGTTGAGCTAGCAAGTTTCCTTAGGTTTGTTTGCCTTTGAATCTGATGCTAGTTGTCATAGAGTTCACTATGTAGTCTAGGTTGGCCCCTAACCCTAGACCATGTATGTGGTGGGGCTCAGCTAAGCTTGCTTTGGACAGAGCATCCTAGGCTCATTTCTTGTCATAAACCTCTCAGCACCAACAGGTGATCTGGCTCATCCCAGCTGGAAACAGGACAGTCTGGAAAAGGCCATAGCAGGGCATAAAATCAAGCCAACCTCTCTATTGCTTTTGGGTCTTTCAGTGCTCTCTGTAGTCCCCAGAGAGCAGTCAACTCCTTAGAGCCTCCTGCTAGGGTCCTTGGTAACTACGACCTACTTATTTAGAAGCCTAATTCCCACCTCCAGCTATTCTCCTCAACCCAGCAAAGCCTGTGCTCTCCACGAAGAGCCACACCCTCCCCTGTGCCTTGCTTCGTGTCATTTCCTTAGCCTGAAGTCTCCATTCCTACTGCCTTCCCTGATCTCCCACCATTACACCTCACTTTGACTCCGCTTTCAAGATTTATTTAGCCTTAGCTCGTGTCATCTCCGAAGAGCACCCCAGACCCAACAGGACTGTCGTTCATTGTCACATCGATAACTTGTTCAAACATGCGATTGGGTGTGTGGTGTGTGTGTGTGTGTGTGTGTGTGTGTGTGTGTGTGTGTGTGTGTAGGTCTGAAGTCAGGTGTCTTCAATTGTCTTCACTTGATAAAGCAAATCCACAGGTTGGCCGTGTGTGTGTGTGTGTGTGTGTGTGTGTGTGTGTGTGTGTGTGTATGTGTGTGTGTGTGTGTGTAGGTCTGAAGTCAGGTGTCTTCAATTATCTTCACTTGATAAAGCAAATCCACAGATTGACCGTGTGTGTGTGTGTGTGTGTGTGTGTGTGTGTGTGTGTGTGTGTGTGTGTGTAGGTCTGAAGTCAGGTGTCTTCAATTGTCTTCACTTGATAAAGCAAATCCACAGGTTGACCTTTCGGCCAGGTAGTGTGCAGGATTAGCGGTCTCCTATATGTTGCAGACAACAGAAAGTTGTCTGAGACATTGGGTAAGTATCCTGAGCAAAGGAAACTGCAAAGCCCGTCCTCCACAGTGACACACTTCCTCCAACAAGGCCATACTCACTCCAACGAAGCCATGCCTCCTAAAAGTGCCACTCCCTGAGATTATGGGGACCAATGACATTTAAACTACCACAAGGGAGCTGAAGCATCCATTACTGTAGCCCATGTGTTTCTCACTCTGGTTCTGGCTGGACAAGGCTCCCACTTATCATCCTTGGATTAGTGTTGCTGAGAGAAGATGAAAACGGTGTTTGCTCTTGCAATTCACACTGGTTGCAAAGATTATGGGTGTTGCTGAAATGGATGCACTTCCCTCTCACCCAAAGGGCAACACTCAGCTCAGGACAGAAAGAACGGCAATGCCCCAGAACTCATTACCTGCACATGGTAAGAGACTAAGGACTCTGGCATCAACTGCCTCTTCTGTTTTTTGGTTTTTTTCTGGGTAGGCATTTACAACTATCTGGTAGTATGACCTTGGCAGCAACTGAGGCCATATAGTAAATACATCACCTTCCTTGGCTATTAAGAGACTACGATAAAAACAGTCAGTGAGATGGCTCAATGGGAAAGGAGACCTAAGGCCAAACCCTGGGACCCACACAAAGGTGGAGAGAACGCACTCCACAAAGATGCCCTCTGACCTCCAAACGTGTCACAGCCCACCACCATTAACAAACCTAACATGCTGAAAATGAAGGCAATGTTTAAAACCAAAATAAAAGCACCTCACAGGTGTGCTTACAAGTCACTTTGCGTGTGACATTTGTACGCAATCACAAATATGGCGTGCTCGTGCTGGGGAGAGGGTACTGCAGTGAAGGACACACACTGTTCTTCAGAGGACTCTGCTTCACTTCCCAAGACCCACATCACGCCATTACAACTGCCTGCAATTTCAGCTCCAGGGGCTCACATTTTGGGGAAATAAAATGGTGTGCCCATGCCTCCTCCTTCCACACAAGGATGAAGCTAGGTTTTAAAGTCCTTAAGATGAGCCTTTTTACAGTTTAAAGTGTTTAGCTGGGATACTGTACGGTGGTTTGGTAAGTTCCCCATAGGAACATTTGAACACTTGGTCCTAAGGTAATAGAACTGTTTGGGAGGTGTGGCTGGAGGTAGACTTTGCCAGTTAAAGATTTCACCATTTCCAGTAACTGTATACTCAAATAAACCCTTCTTTCTCCATGCCGCCCTGGTCATGGTGTGTCATCACAGCACAGAAAAGCAATTGATAGACAATGGTTTACAGGGTCCAAATAGAGCAACTGTGAGCAACCTGGATGGGTAAGAGCAACAAAATCCTACAGAAGAGGTCAGCTAAGTAGGACAAGTAGAACAGACTGAGCTCATCTCACAAATGCACTTAGAGGGATTTTTATTCACGGATGCTCCTGGAGTAGGGCCTGGCCACAGAGTACTGAAACTCAAGTATCTGCAGGATGAGGGACATGCATCCCCAACTCTGAAGCATCCTAACTGTGTCAGCCACTACCACCAGCAGGGTTATGGTGAGGAAAGGGCTCTGGAGGCTGGGGCATGCTGGGTTCCAGAGTAGGAGGCCTAAGTGTGGTCCTTGCTTCTGTCTCTACGGGGAGAACAAAGTGAGTCCAGTTAACTCCCAGCTCCCATCAGCAATAGTCCCAACAGTACCCCAACCCTCACCCAGCCTGCCCTTGATTTAACACACTTAAGACATCAGGAAAGGTTAAGGAATTTTCTTTATTTTTTACAAATTAAGACTATGTAGATATATTTTTTAATCAAAAACACCTTTGTCTTCACAGTATGAGTTAGAGAATGCAGCCTGGGCTGAAAAACCAAAGAACTAGGAAAGAAAGTGGAAATGACAATGATACCTGTATTAAAAACTGTTAGCATTTTCTTTAAAAGTAGTTTTATATCTTATCATTCTTGGCACTGTTTCTAAAGAAAAACTCCTTTATCCCAAGCAAAAAAGCACAAGAGGTGGTGTCTGGCTTCAAGAGGTGGAACTAAGTCAGATCCTAGACCTTGCAAAGAACCACTTATGGAGAGTTGCTCATGTCCCTGGAGGGGAGGGGGGTTAAGGAGCCAGGGTGGAGGCAGCAGGCAAATGGGGCAGGGCCCCAGTGGCACTGAGCTACTCTGGGCACCACTACAGAGCAGTGTCGTGGGACAGTACAGCAGGAGCACGGTGTTCAGCTGCACTGGCTGTCATGTGGGCAGGGACAGCCCAGAGCGCCACCCTGCTAGTAATAGGGTCTCGGTGGTGGCTTGTTCCTTTGAACTGAAACCACAAATAGTCAGGGCCATGACAACTCCTGATGCCACCCTTCTGTGCAGACTGGTAGCCCACAGTTTGGTCACCTGGCTTCTGCCCAGACCTAAAATTTCTAGAAACAGGTGAACAAACCAGGCTAACTAAAGTGCATCTTTAAGTGAACATTGCCTACTGCCTCCAATCTCTGGCAGACAACAAAAATGCACTGAAGAACTGTTAGGAGTGCACCTTCAAGTTATCAGTCAATCCTCCCACCCCCTTCACCGCCCCCAAGGAAGTGCTCAGCTGGAGACTTGTCCCTTGCTGCAGTCCTTAGAGGCTTTTCTGGCAGGATTCAATACAACTAGTCCTGAGGTGCAACCATTCCCTTTCCTATCCTTCCCCCAAGACTCAACCACAGCCACCAAGTAGAGGCCAATCACTAACAAAGGTGATAATTTAAAAACCAACAACAAAAAGCTACAACAGGGAAACTTGAGAACTGTCATCTCTACCTTGCCATACATTCTTCCTTTTGTACTCAGGCCTTCCCACCCCACAGATGGAAAGCAGGTAGAGTCCCTGAGGGCACTCAGGGGTGGGAAAGGGAACACCCCCAAATCCACATTCCCTTCACCAGGGCAAGGCAGACAGGCGTTTGCCAGACCAACTCAGGCAGCAGAGGAACCAAAGCACCCACCAGGCTGACAACTCAGGACAAGTAAGGTCCTTCCCAGGGCAAACAGTGTCTCTGGACTGTGAAAACCAAACACAAGGGCCAAAGAGGCTCCAGCAACAGTGCAGGAGGGTCCGTCTGGAGGCATGGCAGAGAGGCGGACATCTGCTCCTCGCTCACCCTGGTGGACTGGCTGCCTGAGCAGAGTAAGAGGCTATGGATCAGCTGACAGAAAGGGAGCGTGAGAGAACCTCAGGAATATGAAGCCAAACTCCAAACTATATTCACTAATCAGTTTTTTGATCAAAAAATTCAAAATAGAGAACCCACAAAGTACAAAAGCTTTTCTGATGCTTTTCATTATCATAGAACACGGCACCCGTAATGTGTGCAGGGAAATGAGGCCGGGCGGGGGAGGAGTCAAGCTGGGGAGGCCGGGGGCCAATTCACTTCTTCTCTTTTTTCTTGTCCTACAAACAAAGAAAAACCACCTAAGTCTTTTTCCTGACATGCAAATCTAAATGTGCGAACGCTGGCAAAGGATGTGAAGGATCTGGACCACAAAGGATGAGAAATGCTTGCATGAACTGAGTCCTCCCAACCTTGGGTGCAAGCCCGAGAGAAAAGGAACAGAGCTCAGCAACTGAGAGGGGAGCAGTGTCATCTCCACTGTGCTCAGTGCAAACAGAACCACAACCCCACCTTGCCAATCCTCCACCCCACTGCACTCACTATCTTACCAAGGAAAGCTCAGAGGTTCATTGGCTCCTCTACCTCTGGACTACACTGGCTTTTCTTGGGAAAATTAAGGTTAACAAATGGATAGGACTGGAGAGATGGTTCAGTATTTAAAGCACTGACTGCTCTTGCAGAGGACCTGGGTTTGAATGTCAGCATACACACAGTGGCTCAGAACTGTCTCTTGGGGGTCATAATTGTAACTCTTCCAGGGAATCCAATGTACATGTATGTATACATGCACTCATATATATTTGTAAAAACTTTTAAAAACAATTGAAAAAGATTAACAAGTGGATAAAATGATCTCCTGACATTCACAAAGGACAGCTGTCATTACAACACCTTTTTCTGAGTCCTAGTATCTTTGTAACCTTAAATTCTTCCTAAGGTACCTTGCTCTCACAGACACCAAAGTTGTCTGCCACTGGAAACTCATCTCTGGGGTCAGTTAATATTTCAGGAAATTGTTTTCACGTGGTTTTTCTTTCTGTTAGCAAAGATTTGGGGTTCACCTGTTGAGGGAGGGCCCTGCCTTTCACATACTTTGTCCTACATAATGAGCGAACAACTTAGCAAACTCTCACATCCACACTGATGTGAGCAGGACCGCTCTCTCACACACAGGCTTTGGACTCACTAACCTTCTCGTTCAAAGCCAGGATCAGCATGAGCTTCCTGAAGAGCGTAACAAAATCTAAGAAGAGGTCGACGCAGTGCCTGAAAGAGAAGAAGCAGTTCCCTCACAGCACTGCCCACTTCCCTCACCAGAAGCCCCAACACTGCCAGGACATAAGGCTGCCCACCCGGGAGTCACTCCCTCCAACACCCCACCCCCATCAGAAAACAGACTGGGATCCCTTTCAACTCAACAAATCCATGAGGCACCAGGAGACCAGGCTTTATTCAAACAGAGACCAGGTCTGAACCTGCAACTACCAAGTACCAATGAGCAGTGATGAGACCTAAAGAACTGTTCCACTTAACAGACTCTGCACACCTCTCGTTGTTACCACAGAGAGGGGGGGGGGGGGGAGAGGGAGAGGGGGGAGGAGAGAGAGAGAGGGGGGGGAGGGAGGGAGGGAGAGAGAGAGAGAGAGAGCGAGCCCCTTTACTACTGGGTGCCTAGAGGAGGAGGAAGCCAATAAAACTGTGTGCTGGGGTCCAAAGCTCAGCTCCAGTACACAGCTTGTCTGGAGTAATTGCCCGGAGTGCTTGCCCAGCACTGATAAAGCCCTGGATCTAATCCCCATCATAAACCACTGGTGCATACATGTAATGTCGGCAGGTCATCCTTAGTTACTCAGTGAGTTCAAGGCCAGCCTGGACTGCATGAGACCTTGCTTCTTAACAACAACAACAACAACAACAACAACAACAACAACAAAATTTAACATACTTTCCCATGTATGTACAGCCATGAAATGGAACAGTTTGCGTCAACCTTTATTCAATGCAGACCAGCTTCCCATACTTACCAGATGTAATCCTTATCTCCATTTTCAGCCTTCTCAATAATGAGCTGAGTATCAAACAGGACAAAGCCACACATGACCAGCAGTCCCATATACAAGTTTGCCTAACAAACGAAAGAGACACAGTTACATGTGGTAGATGTAGTAGTGGGGAAAACAGCCCATTTCCTGCCTCTTACCCACTATGAAAACACACCACATGCTAACCCAGAAGACAGTAAAGCTCATATCACTTCTCAAGACACAATACGGTTTTCACTCCTTCAGGTCACTCATCTGCCCTGAGGCAAACAGTCTCCTCAGCTGTGCCTAACCATGCAGAGGGCCATGTCCTCAAGGGTCTCAAACACGCCCAAACAAGGTGAGGGCTCTAGAGCCACCTCTTTGGACTTAGACAAAGTATATGGGGCAAATGGCTGCTGGAGATTCAGTATAAAATCTCACCTGGAATAGCCACATGGATCCAAAGAAGAGGTTCCCCAGAGAGGACAAGAACATGAGGCTCATGGCTGACATCAGGATGCCTAATAAGACAGAGCAGAAGTTGTCAAGAGAAAGCCAATGCAGGGCAAAAACAATCCCACTAAGGTCATTTCTAACTATCTCCCCAAAGGAGGGTTTTTAGAGACTTGAGTTTTCCAGAAGAGGCGGCCTACTGACAGCTCTATAGAGCAGAGCCAGGGCCTGTCTTCCAGTCCCTACCTCCCAAGAAGAGGTAGCTCCGGCGCCTGGCATAGAGTGCACTCAAGCTGAAGCAGGTGAAGACCATGGCTGTGCCCATGAAGGCCGTGGGGAGGATGCTGTGAAAGAAAAGGCCATGAGTTGAGAGCTGCAACCATGTGCTCTGTATTTAGAAGGCATACTCACAAAGGTACAGAACACATGAAAACAGTTTACCTGGGATTGATAGCAATGCACAACTCCAAAGCAGGGCCCAGGCCAACTCCTAGAAAACAAACCCCCAGAACATAAAATTACCATCAATTCAATCACAGGTATTCATTCTCATTAAAAAACCCCAACACATGACCCAAAGCAATTCTTGTACTCTACCCTTTCATTCATAGATCTATCTTCCCCTCAGCTCAAAGCCATGGATGCTTTCAGGAAGAACAGAAATTAGAAAACAAAAAGGCAGAATGTCAAATATCATGTGTCCTTGAGATGTAGAATGGCCAGATCAGGGACCAAGTAGAAGGATGGAAACAGAGCCTGGCAGCCAGTGCCCTCAGTCCTGCAGGATTGAGCCCTTGGAGTGAAGGGCAGTCAGACCAGTTTCTCAGGTGATCACAAGGCAACAGGACAACTTGCTGCAGCCCAGCATTTCTTCTACTCTAGCTATTTCCTCCCTGATAATCTCCCCTAACACCTCAAATAACTAGTGTCCCCTAAGCCAAGTCCTCAATCTTTTCCTTTTTAAAATTTCCTAACACTGTACAGACTATCACTCAGAAGCTGGTGCATTTTAAAGAACTTTATCATATAGCTCCAATTTTATTTTCTTCATGATAACTCTAAAAGAGATGACTGGCTTTTTGTTTGTTTTTTTGTTTGAGACAGAGGTTTCTGTGACCCTGAGTATCTTGGAACTCCATCTGTAGACCAGGCTGGCCCTAAACTCAAAGAGATCTGCCTGCCTCTGCCTCCTGAGAGCTGGGACTAAAGATGTGAGCCACCACACCCAGCAAGAGATAGACTTTTAACCAGACTCTTAGTTTATATCTACTATTTAAAAAGTCATGAACCTCATTCATTTGAACTGCAACTATTTTTAGGTCACGGTTGCTAGCTACCAAATACTAGTTGGAAGGTGCTTAACTCTACATGCAAGACAGGAACAGTCTATATGTAACAAGGAAACAGTACAACGCAAAAGCAAACAAAAAAACCAACACTCAAATACAAGTGTGACTGACTTGTGGGTACAGAGCAAGGAGACCAAAAGAGAGAAATCACAGCAGTGTGATGGAATTTGGGGAAACTCTACTGAGAGAACTGTTCTTAAAGGATTGTACACAGACAAAAAGTATAAGTCACTTGGAAAATCAGAGCTAAACTTAGGCTTTAATCTAAACAAGAACTAAAAATAAACACTCTTCCACCCCATTAGACAACCTCTTCATATACCTGTGAGGAAAGCAAAGCCAGCAAGAAGTCCCAATCTTTTTCGTTCAGTTTCATGGCTATGAGGTGTTGCCATCAGCCAGATCATCAAGCCCAAGGAACCCAAGGCAGACAGCAGGCCAGCCTGTAAGAGCCAGTCAACAAACAAACAGTTCAGAGTTTTGTGTTTACTAGGCTCAAATGCTCATCTGATATTTCTAACATTTGCTTCTTCATCTAGAGGCAGAGAAAAGGTAGTATGTTCTCAGAGAGAATGAGGGGAGTGAAACCAGAGCCTGGAGGTGAGGACTAACACTGTGATCGCTACCAAGAGCACACTGCATCTGTAGGACAGCAGAAATGACCCCTTCTTGTTCACTTAAAAGAGAAAACAAATACCAGCTGACCTGAGTTATTTGATCCCTAGGACCCAAGTAGTTAAAGGAAAGAAACACATGTGCTGTGGTTCACTTGGGCTTACCCATGAGCCAATCCCAATCCTGGATGATGGGATTAAGGAAGGTTTGGGGGGGGAGGGTTTACAGAGGCTTGAACTTGGTCCTGCTGCCTCTGCTTTGCAGTGCTGGCAGTACAATGCTGTCTTCCTTCTAGAGGTTTAAAATTGCTCAGCTATTTTTGAATTTCCTATAGTAAATTACTTTTGTAACAAAAATAAATTTTTTAAAAGGGAATTTTAAATGAAAAACCCACCCCCAGGTATTAGGAGGAGAACTGAAGTTCCATTCTTCTCACTGATAGTAAGTGAAAGGTTACACACTTCAAGAGTAGATGCTGTATTAGTAACTGAGTGTTCCTGCAGCACTCCGCTCACATTTTCACAAAATGATCAACACCTAGCCTTACTTTATGTGTTTCTTTTTAAGAACACTTATTTGTCATATACTGTAGATTTCCAGATGTTGAGACAAGTATATTTTCTCCCTGAAATAAATCAACCATCGTAATAGCACTTTAGCATCATGTTGTTTTTGGTTAAAATCAGGAACAAAACTACAGAATGGGACAGGTAATGGTGGTGTACACCTTTAACTGCAATGCAGCACTTGGGGGTAGGAAGCAGGCAGAATATCTAGCCAGAGCTACATAAAAGCCTATCTAAAAGCATAAACTAGGCTGTCATGCAGCTTAGTGGGAAGAAGCATGTATGAAGGCTTGAGTTCAATCTCTGGCCCACAAAGGTGGCATTTGACCTGTAAGAGCAACATGTGAGTGAAGCATAACCCTAACCTCCACTGGGCAAGTCGTGAAAGATGAATCAAACTTCTCACTACTTCTCATGTTTGTAAAATGTACTGAACAGTGTGATCCTGGAATGGTTGAATCCCCAAATGCAAAGTCAGTTTGTATTGAGAACTGAGTACATTTTACATTCCTTCAAACAACAAAAATGCAAAAATAACACATAACCAGAAAATAAGACCTAAAATTTGCTTTGAACTCAAGGATCAAAGCCTCTCCCCTCTGAGTGCCTGGAGCAATTTTTCATATAACCCTTGGCAGAAGGTGCCTGAACAAAAGAACAGTTCATTACAGTGGCAAATGTCAACATAAATACCCCTCTGTATTTTTGCTAAAAAGGGCACTCCAAAGTTTGGCTACTAGGGAAACTTCAAACTTTTTGGTTCTTCTTCTTCATTTTTTTTTTTTTTTTTGGTTTTTCGAGACGGGTTTCTCTGTGGCTTTTTGGAGGCTGTCCTGGAACTCGCTCGGTAGTCCAGGCTGGTCTCGAACTTACAGAGATCCGCCTGCCTCTGCCTCCCGAGTGCTGGGATTAAAGGCGTGCGCCACCAACGCCCGGCTTTTTGGTTCTTCTTTAAGTAAAAAATGTGCCTTCTACTTTTGTTGGTCAAACCCAAAGTTGCCGAAGGTTTCTCCCAAGGATGCAGCACATAATTAAATGGGTCAAGCTTGTACAAGTCCAAACCTTGCCTACTCTGACAATTAATTATACAAATGGCATTTTGTTCCAAGCATCCACAGTCACTGAGGCAACAAAGAAGAAAAGATGGGACAGGCACCATGCCATAGAGGGCCAGCACCTGGTTCATGTGTGAGGACCGGATCTTGTATGTTAGCCAGTATCAACTGCCCACCTTTAGGATCAAGTACCCAGTGAAAGAAATTTGTGTTCAGTTTCTACAAAAGGAATGATTGCCAGAAAACTTAAACTACTGATAAGGACATTAAGGAGGGGCATAGGAATAGACCACCCTGCTAAGTTTTCTTCCTAATGGAGTGAGTTTGTGTTGCTGCCTCCAGAGAGAAACATCCTTACCTGAATGAAACGTGTGACCACATGGACATAGGCCCCTGCCGCCGCCACAAACATACAGAGTGCAAAGCTGGCATAGACCTTCTTCAGGTGCTGCTGTGTCGAGGGAGTTCTAGGAAAGAATGGTTATAAGACATCACGTCTGGACAAATCATTTCTTTGTAAGTGAAGTTATATTATCAACAGTTTGAGATATGTTCTGAAGAACATATAATAAAAAGGAATGTTTGGAAAATGGGTTAACAGAATCTGCCAGAGAAGAACCCAACCCCCAAATTATACGAGCAATCAGCACCCAACCAGAACAGGTGACTTGCTGGTGACTGCACAGCAGCCCCTACAACCTGGCTACTCCTGCTAGACTTCTCTGGAATCTAGCTCATTTGTTTACTGACACCTATAAAAATTACCCAACCAAGGAAAGAAATTAGGTATGACAAGAAATGCAGCAAGTGACGATAATCAAGGTTAAATCACTTACATATGGGAAAATTTCAAGAGGGCATCAAAGTTGATCTTCCGATCAAATATGTTCATGGTTCCGAACTCTGTTCAGCTCACTTGCTAAGAAGAAAAGATTATTTTGTAGACACCTCACATTTAAGAGCATAGTCTCATTAAAAAAAAAAAAGCAGTTAAAAGTCCCCCATTCAACTCTTTTATAGAGGACAAAAGACAGGAACATGAAACCATCTTCTCTCCAAAATTCTTGTACCATCATTTGATTTCTATTTATTATTTTAGAAGGTAATTACACTTTTTTTTTTCTAAGACAGGGTTTCTCTATGTAGCTTTGTAGACCAGGCTGGCCTCAAACTCACAGAGATCCACCCACCCCTGCCTCCCGAGTACTGGGATTAAAGGCCTGTGTCATTACTGCCTGGCAGTAATTACAATTTTTAAAGGACAAATTTGTCCTTTAAAAGATAGTTTATACCAGGCAGTGGTAGTACACACCTCTATAATCCCAGCACTTGGGAGGCAGAAGCCAACCTGGTCTACAGAGCAAATTCTAGCACAGGTTCCAAAGCTACACACAGAAACCCTGTCTTGAATTCCCCCCCCCCCAATAAAATGACAGTTTACAAGGTAATTTTTCAATTAGCAACCTAATTAAAGAAAGCTATCTGAGTTTTGACTGTTTTTTTATTGAATGTATGAGTAGCAACTGTCATGTGGAGGTCAGAGGACAACTTCTGGGAGTTAGTCCTTACCTTCTTTGTTGTTGTTTTTTGAGACAGGGTTTCTCTGTGGCTTTGGAGGCTGTCCTGGTACTAGCTCTAATAGACCAGGCTGGTCTTGAACTCAGAGATCAGCCTGCCTCTGCCTCCCGAGTGCTGGGACTAAAGACACGCGCTACCACCACCCAGCAGTTCTCACCTTCTACAGATGGTACTAGGTATTAGGGACTGAACTCAAGTCTTACACAGCAAGGGCTTCACCAGCCTTGGAACAATTATGTCACTGTTTCAAGACACTAGAGAACTAACTCTCTCAGAAAAAGTATCTCAAAGAGTAAAAAAAAAAAAAAAAAAAAAAAAAGCTATAAGGCTATTTATTCCTTTCAGACATGGTCCCACTATGTAAGCCCTAGCTGGCATTCCAATTATGTAGACCAGGTTGGCCTAAAACTCACAGAAATTTGTCTGCCTCCACCTCTGGAGTGCTGGGATTAAATGAGTGTGCCACCAAAAGAATGAAGTCAATTCTTGTACTAGCCTTGCATTCTAACATGCAAGCAATTTCCACTAACACATTTTTAAAAACTTCATGGAAAGTCACAATTTTTAAAATTTCTGTATCTCCATGAACATAAAGCACAAGAAAGAATTTTGTTATTTTTATACTATTAGAACCTTTTAAAATATTTATTTATTATATATACAGTATTCTGTCTGCATGTATGCCTGCAGGTCAGAGGGCACCAGACCTCATGACAGATGGTTGTCAGCCACCACGTGGTTGCTGGGAATTGAACTCAGGACCTCTGGAAGAGCAGTCAGTGCTCTTTAACCACTGAGTCATCTCTCCAGCCCTAGTATTAGAATCTTTAAAAAAAAATAGTGTGGCCGGGCGTTGGTGGCGCACGCCTTTAATCCCAGCACTCGGGAGGCAGAGGCAGGCGGATCTCTGTGAGTTCGAGGCCATTCTGGTCTACAAAGTGAGTTCCAGGACAGCCTCCAAAGCCACAGAGAAACCCTGTCTCGAAAAACAAAAAAAAAAAAAACAAAACAAACGAAAAAAATAGTGTGTGTGTGTGTGTGTGTAACTGAGCATATATACATGAGCATCACATGTATGCATTCAATACCCAAGGAGGCCAGAAGAAGGGATCTGATTACCTGGCACTGTAGTTATAGGAAATGGTGAGTCACCCGAGATGGGTACTGAAAACCAAACAGATCCCTCCCCTTTTTTTAGTGTTTTTGAGACAGGGTTTCTCTGTGGCTTTGGAGGCTGTCCTGGAACTAGCTCTTAGCTCTTGTAAACCAGGATGGTCTCGAACTCACAGAGATCCATCTGCCTCTGCCTCCCGAGTGCTGGAATTAAAGGCTTGCACCACCATTGCCTGGCTAGATCCCCTTTAAGAACTGCAAGTGCTCTTAATTGCTGAGTCACCTCTCCAGCTCCCACCAAACCATTTGTCTAAGACATGGCCTTACTAGAGGCTCTGACTAGACTGGATCTTACTACATAGACCAGGCTGGCCTCAAACTCAAGAGACCTGCCCACCTCTGCCTCCCAAGTGCTGGGGTTAAAGGTGTGTACCACCATGCTGGACTTCCTGGGAAACTTTCCTACAGAAAAACTGTAATCGTAAAAACTCCCTCTATAGTTTTTAAAATGTGGTGTGTACACTTCCATGCGTGTGCAATTGTGGACACAGCGTGTGTGCTGAGGTCAGAGGATGATGAGCTTGGGTCTTGGCCCTCACCTTCCACTTGAGACAGGCATTTGTTGTTCACTACTGCTATAGGCCAGGCTATCGTGAGCTGCTGGGGATCTATTATCTGCCTCCTATCTCCCTGTAGGAGCACTGGAATCAAATATGGGGGCAACCATGCCTGGCTTTTACATGGGTTCCAAGGACATACATTCAGGGCCTTGTGAGAAGGACATTACCTACTGAGCCACCTCATCAACCCTCACTCCAATATTCTCTTAGATTTCCCAAATATTAATAGCTGCCCTTTCCCTCCTCCATATATAATAATGTTTAACACAAAGACTTAAAATATTTTTCTTAAACTGTGTAGACAATGCTCTAGTACTTAATGTGTGGATATCCAGGAAACACTCATCAAAAGCAAAAAACTAGGATGCAACCTGACTTACAGACCTTATTCAGATTTTACCAACAGTCCCAATATGTCCAACAGCATTTTAGAACCAAAGCAGGGCATCTATTACCCCCTTTTCACTGTGATTCATGTGATCAAACATGTGAGCGATGCAACCCATACGCAGACATTTAAAAGCAAAAAACAAAACCCAAGCAAACCATATCCAGCTACATCACACCAATACTGTTAAGCTGGAGAAGTTTTGCTCCTTCCATCTCACATGCAATCCCAAACACATTCAGTCTAAGAACTAAGATCTGACCAAGAGCTTTCGTCTTTTCTAAACATAAACACACACACACACACACACACCAGTTCTTTCTAAACACACAATGCCCACTCTATTCCCAATCTACAAAAAGGGAGAGGGAAAGGCAAAGAACCATTAGCCTGCAACCAAAGTTATAATCCTAAAGTCAACTTCTGAGGTATAAAGATGCAGTTTGTAAGGGTGACAGTACCAGTGGTTTCCTGAAGTTCTCTTCCCCCAAAGAAAGCAATCACATAGGTACAGGTTGGTTTTCTCATCATGACCCTACTTACCTGGACTCTTGGTGAGAAGCTGTAGACCCTACCAAAGCTGCTACTCTCCTCTCCAGTCACTGGCCTCTGTGCCCTCTTGGTCTAGATGGTGCAACTATTGCAGACTGTTGCAAGGCCAAGCAGTCTTCCACAACCATGATGAATGCATTCTCCAGAGAGAACACTTACAGGATGGTACAATCCAGCAACTGGAAAGTGTCTTTAAGGCTTCCATTAACACTCTTAATGACATCCCTAGAGAGAATGTGCAACTTCCACAGCCAAGTTTCTCAGTATGCACAGTAGAAGCGCTAAAGTACCTCTTGCTTCCAATTTCAATCAGTAACAGCAATAGGGGGAGGGGACAAAAATACCCAGGGGGTTGTTAGTCAGAAAGGGGCAATACTCATGTAACCAGACCCTCTAAGGAAAAACTGTGAGAGAGTACACCAGCAGAAACTCTTCTTTCCCTGGTACTGACTGCCTCTTTCTGTGGCTTTCAGTTGATTAAAAAAAAAAAAAAAAAAAAGCTAGGGCTGGAGAGGGCTCAGCAGCTCTTTCACAGGACCAGGTTCAATCCTGGCACCAACATGTCAGCTGACAGCTGTAACTCCTGCTCCAGGGGATGCAAAACTCTCTTTTGAACTCTGAGGGCACCAGGTACCTGTGGTGCATAGATATAATTGAATGCACAACACCCACAATCTTAAGAAAAAAAAAAAAAAGAAGACAAAAGTCTGTGCAAGAATGAGGATGTCAAATACTCAAGTTTTTTCTTGACTTATTAGTAGCTTCGTTTAAAATACTAAAATATACAAAAACTTTCCCTTTTTTTGTCATTGTGGTGAAATACAGTTTTACTATGCAAGCCAAACCTTCAATCCTCAGTGTCCCAAGTGCTGTGACTGTGTGTGTCACACCAGGTTAAAACTTGTATATTTTTTGTTTGTTTTACTACCTACTACAATTTTTTAAAAAATGTGTGTGTGTGTGTATTGCTTCTCTGTGTAGACAAGACTGGCCTTGAACTTAGAGATCCTCCTGCTTCTGCCTACTGAGTGCTAGTATTAAAAGCCTGTGCCACCACACCCAGCCTACTTCAAACTAAGTGAAACAAGCTAACACATAACACAGCAATGCTAATGCTATTAGCACAGAGAGGGTGGAAGAGCAATGAAAGGCTCAAGAGGCAGCTCATATAAAGCACTTGCTTCACAGGCCTAATAAGCTAAGACCCATTCCCAGTGAAAACAGTGCTGACTCTCCAAAGTTGTCTTCTGGCTTCCACATACATGCTGTGTCATGTACACACCCATGGTCACACACCTCATATACCTACACAGTAATGAAAATTTTGAACTTTAAAAAAAGTAGTAATGTATATGCCGTATTTCATTTTGGAAATGTTAAAATGTAAGCGGGAAAGCAGGTCTCAGAACGAAGGAAATGTAACTTTGCTCTAGAGTTGTTCAAGGTGGGACAAGTAAAGGTATAAATAGAGATAAAATGCTCCCTCAAGGTTCCCCCCCCCCCCCCTTTCTTTTTTGAGACAAGGTCTCACTATGTAGCTGCCCTGGCTGGCCTGGAATTGACCAAAATAAAAAAAAATCCACCTGCTTTTGACTCCCAAGTGCTAGCATTTAAGGTGTATGTTGCCATGCCTGGCCCTGACATATACATTAAAAAATAAGGGGCTGG